AGTTGACCCAAGTAATAATTTTATGAAATGTCAAACTAACTACAACATGCACACTTTACTTCAAAATGGATCAAGTAAAAAAACTGTTTTCTCTTGGTTTCAAAGCTTTACTTAAAAGATTTCCACCATTAATTACCGTATTTATTCGTGTATGATACGATCTCATGTATAATACGACCCCCCCTCCCTTCTTTTGAGCTAAACAGCATAAAAAATTTAATCCTCAAACTACCTCCAATTTCATACAGACTTCAAGATTTTTCAGCCTTTGCAGTCTTTATACATATCAGTAAAATGATCATTGGACTGTTCATTTTATTTTAACAACATATGTACTAAAAGGTATTTTGACAACAAATATACTGTATATCAGCTGCAGCAGCATCATATGAATTCTGGCATTTTACACATACACTGCAAATAAATGTCCATCTAACCAAGTTTTAAATTCTTACATCTAGCGTCGTTTTGATCTTGTTTTGAGACTGATTTACTAAACAAGAACTGATTGTGTAAGAATAATCATCTTGTTTTCAGAATGTGTAAGATTATTTGTCTTTTTAGTCTGAAGATTTGAGTCAAATTAAGTCAAAAATTTCTGCCAGTGGAGTAAGAACATTTACTTGGTAAAATTATTGAAATACTTTATTTGACTCAGTTTTTTCTTATTTCAAGAATCTTACCAAGTAAAAATGTTCTTACTCCACTGGCAGAAATTTTTGACTGAATTTGAGTCAAATTTTCAGACTAACAAGACAAATAATCTTACACATTCTGAAAACAAGATGATTATTCTTACACAATCAGATCTTGTTTAGTAAATCAGTCTCAAAACAAGATCAAAAAGACTTTTTGGCTGATATAAGATTTTAAAACTTGGTAAGATGGACAGTTTTTGCAGTGTAGTCCACCAGGATGCGCCAACACAAAAGTCAGAGAGTGTCCTGATGCATCTCAGTAATCCAGGTAAAAAATCAAAAAGAAAAAAATTGTATAGGTCTTCTGGACGGGTTCTTCTCTAGTGAAATGTTTTGTGTCTCCTCCAAGAGACTTCTTCAGTCTGAGAGTGAAGTCTCTTCAGTCTAAGACTGAAGAGACTTCACTCTCAGACTGAAGAAGTCTCTTGGAGGAGAGACGAAACGTTTCATTAGAGAAGAACCCGTCCAGAAGACCTATTCAGTTTTTTTCTTTTTAAAAGTCAGAGACTTCACATGAGATTTGGGCCATCTTCTGGGGGAAAAGCAGATTACTTCCTACTCGCGAGCGCCCCCTCTGGTGGGGAAACATTTTTCAGGGATACAAACTTTTTCAGAACACCGGTAAACGGCAGCCATTACTGACGAACATGTGTTTGTTGTTGTTCGAGGAGCGACTCAGTCACACACTAATGTCATTAGTTTGTTATCATTACTAAGGTACAGGACTACTTTTTTCTTTTTTTTTTTCACATCATGTCTCCTGCCTGGACCTGTTATTATCTTGCTCTGAAGCACAGAGGAGTGTCAGAGGTGAGCTCGTTTCAACTGATTTTTACAACATGGTCTCATTTAAGGACTCATGCATTTTGTGAATTAAGCCGATATTTCAGTTAAAATACATAAGTAAAAATATTTATCCGAGTATAGTACTACCCCCCAACTTTATGGATGATTTTATGGATTTAATTTTATGTATTATACTTGAATAAACTCATTAAGAGGGCGGAAATTTTGTACATTTTTCTTTACTCTATTACATACTAAAAGCGTGTATATATTCATCGATCTTTAAGAAGCCTGACCTGCCGACTGTCAGGTGTTATAAGGTCACAACACATCTTTAACGTTATAAAGCTTATTTTATTGAAAAGCACTGAACAATATTCTTGAAGCAAGGACTGGGCGATAATTCAATAACGATATTTATCACGATAAACACATGTTCAATATTAATAGAAAACACATCCAGTATAATATCAATAATTTCACTGGTTATTTCTGCTAACGATTGATAACTTTCTGATGAAATAAGCTAGAAGCTTTCAGCTGAACAACACTGGGAAAGCTTCAAAATAAAAGCTTCAAGCTAGGCAACAAACGCCCGCTAATAGAAATAATCGCTCACGTTTTATTTTGAGAGATAAAGCGCTAGCTCGCTGGACCGGTCCACCATCGTAGGGTTAATATGAAAATAATTATTGATTTAGGACGCTGTTGCACTGAAATGAAGCATCTAAAAACTAAAGGGGACATCACAACGACACGCCAACAGCTAAAAGCCTGCAGCTAAACAAGGTAAGTTAGCAAAAAAACTGTGTTTAATGTTTCGCTTCATAACTGCTTAAAAGTAAAAAAGAACTGTGTGGAGTGAAAGGAGAAAACGATGCTCAAGAGGAAATTGTGGATAAAAGAGTAAAGGTCACCAGTTTGTCAGTATTTCAGATATTTTAAGTTTGATGAGACTCAGACCGATGTTGTCCGAAACTGATCAATAATTATCGATATTATCATAGCCCTACTTTAAACAATACAGACTTGTTTTAATTGAACAGCCTGTCTCACAGCAGAGCAACAGTGATTTTCAGACCTTTGCTGATGCAGATAAGATCAGTGGATAAGACTGAACTCTCAGAAGTATCAGTCGATCATTGAGCTCCCAAAACGAAGGAAATCGGCCCTTAAAAAACTTATGGTTGAACCTCTTTGCATAATAAATTAAACACTGTTTCGATGAGCTGTGAGTGCACCAACAAATGTATCTGTCAGTAAAATATCACTGCAGAGGGTTAAGGAGCAGATGTTCCCGTCTGAAAGAAAATGAAACGTTGATTCGCTCTAAAATCAGCAGAGGTAAAACTAAAAGTTCTCACTGGCAGGATCCAAAGGTGCAGTACTGCGCTCACAATTTCCTGGCAGTGACTCCGTGAGTGGGCTCGCTCACACACACACACACACGCAAACTCTGTGGCAGAGCATCTCACCAGCATTATGCAACCAACTTCTAGAGCTGCACGCGCACAGGAGAGCATTCTGGACATGATCTGCTCTGGAGGCGGGGTTTAAAGGAACAGAGCAGCGGTTAAATCTGAGCTCTTTTTATGTGATGACTCCAGGGTCACGTCCAAGTCCAAGATCTGACAAGATTAGAATTTGGAGGCTTTTTTTACAACAGGTCTGGGGGCCTGAATACACACACACACACACACACACACACACACACACACACAAAACACACACACACAAAACACATCATCGCTGTGTTTCACCCTGTACAGTCACATGCAGCACACCTCCACTCTCTCCTGAACCCACACACTGCTGTTTCCCACACACACACATACACACACACACACACACACACACACACACACACACACACACACTGCTACAACAGGTACTCACACAAACCACGACACCCTCAGTCCTTCAGAGGTGCTCCAAACTTTGTGCTCATCCTGGTCTGACTCCAGCATCACACTGTCCCTTCATCTCCAAACATGCACTCCACACAGACACACACACACACACACTGCTACAACAGGTACTCACACAAACCACGACACCCTCAGTCCTTCAGAGGTGCTCCAAACTTTGTGCTCATCCTGGTCTGACTCCAGCATCACACTGTCCCTTCATCTCCAAACATGCACTCCACACAGACACACACACACACACACACACACACACACACACACACACACACACACACA